ACTGGCCTTCCCGGTCCCTGTGTGCTGTGTCTCTGGGCGCTGTGACACTGGCCTTCCCGGGCCCTGTGTGCTGTGTCTCTGGGCACTGTGACACTGGCCTTCCCGGGCCCTGTGTGCTGTGTCTCTGGGCACTGTGACACTGGCCTTCCCGGGCCCTGTGTGCTCCTGAAAAACAGTTTAAAGGGCACAGCAGCATTGTCAGGGAAATTCTTTGTGGATTTATAAAATTAATAAACATTCATGTACTTAACTGGCCAGCTTGCTGCTTCAGCACTGGTCTGAACTGGACATGCGAAAAGCTGTCTGGTCCTGACAGGAATAACGAACCCAATTAGGCTCACGGCTCACGATCGTTTCCGGTTTACTCTGTGTTCCGTCTTATGGAAGGGGGAGTCAGCTAGCAGTTCCCCCCCGGGGGGAGGGCGGGGGCATGTCAGGATTGGGGTGATGGCACATGAGTGCATGTACCCGTATGCTTTTGATGGCTGATTACTGCATGTCCCTTGGCGGGGGCGGGGGGAGGAATAATTCCCATGCAGCGTTTTCGCTCGTAGCCCCCGCTGATATGGAAAGTGATGTTCACACGGTGTGTGAGGATCCCCTCACAATGGGGGCCAGATTAGGTCACGGCAGGCCTGATGGATCACAGCAATATGTCTGAGAAGAGCCCGGAACAGCTGACCTGTGACTGCACAGGCAGACAGACGCTGACATAAACACACGGCTGCACAGCAGGAGCCCGGCAACCCTGTAAAACCCCGAAATGCTTAAACGCAGGTCTTCCTTTCTGTATGCATTACCTCCTGAAACCTGAGAATCCCCGCCTGGCTGAGGGGGGTTTAACTCCGCTCTCAAACGGCAGGATACCGATTCTTCAGTGGCTCACAGGCCACCTGAGCTCCAGGGACAAGCCCTCACTAACCTCCGTTCTTGTTTCTCCACAGAAACCACTTCACTGGCCAGCAGTATCACGCCCACATCACCCGTTCCCGCAGAGAGTGGCACGACACAGAGAGTAGTGTCTGGTGAGTCATGGCCTCTGGGCTACCCATAAGCCCTGACAAGAGAAGGGAACTACACTACCCATAAGCCCTGACAAGAGAAGGGAACTCCACTACCCATAAGCCCTGACAAGAGAAGGAAAATCCACTACCCATAAACCCTGACAAGAGAAGAGAACTCCACTACCCATAAGCCCTGACGAGAGAAGCGAACTCCACTACCCATAAGCCCTGACGAGAGAGGATAACGCCACTACCCATAAGCACCATCTTGGGATAAGAACTCCACTAAATGCCTATACTCATGAGCTTAATATGAACATAACACAAGGTCTCAACTACCCAATTTGTCAAACCCATTGGATAAATAACAGCAGAGAATCTGGCAATGTTACCAACATGTTATACTTAAAGTAATACTTGTAAGCTGAACTGATCCTGTTTTTCCAGAGTAATCCAGTGCTCCCAGTATGAGTATGGTCCAGTAGAGGTTTCTCTCATCGTGGGGTTTGGTACGAATCAGGCTGCACTGGGAGTGATTCACACATTCCAGTGGCTACCCTCTCTGACCCACACACATGTTCACACATACACACACACACACACACACTCACACACTAGCTGGGTGGTCCCTGAAGGCCACATGAGATGGTTCAGAGGTTCTGCAGGGAGTTTGGCCCAGTGAGACCTGCACTGCATTCCATGTTTGATGGAAATAAAGCTTTCAGTGGCTGATCTCACGCCCCCTATCACCCACCCCCCAGCTCCGACCACCACCCCCTCCTCACTGGGCGACGTGTGTAACTTCGAGAGAGGCCTGTGCGGCTGGACCCACGACCCATCGTCCGGCCTGAACTGGTCCCAGCGTGGTACCGGAGGCAGGGATCCCCCTGCAGGCTCTGACGGTAAGTGTGCCCCAGCCCATCAGTCTCGCGGTTTCCAAGGCGACGTCCCGCTTTGCATTAGAGGCACGTTCCATGTTTTACTTCATGCCGTAGGACTAGGGGCAGTCTGAGCTCTTCACAGGAAATGCAGTGTCCACAGCCTTAAAGACGTCAGGCATTAACCCCTGGGAGGCCCAAACACGACCCTTTACCCCCTTCGCTCGTACACAGAAACACGCCTGGTTTCTTGATTTGGGGGGGTGCCCCCCGTTACTCTCCCGGCTGATCACTGACCATAAAATTTCCTTCTGCTGAGTGACCTTTGAACAAATCTTTAACTTTTAATGGTATAAAAACCAGGGATAAAAATTTGCTTTGTTAGCGAGTTAGCATTTAGCGGCCTTGGTGAGATTTCTTTAAGGGTTTGTAGCCCTTTTCAGTGGATTTTATGAACCATTCCAGACAGGTTGAGATGGAGCGTGAGAGTTTCCGCTGTCCGACTCTTCCCTGAAAGCCGACGTCCTGGGAGGGGTAACTGGTTATCGGTGAGGGTGGTGATGGCCGCTTGTAGGCTCTCAGACCATTTAACAGTTCTTTGCCTGTGGATGCCACAGAAATGCAAGTCATTCACCTCTAACGCGATATTCAGGTTAATAACCACCATTTAAATGTTATTTATTATGGAATGCATGGGGAGTGAACAAAATCACAGAAAGATCACTTGAAAAAAGTACTTTGACTTCAAAGTAACTGAATCGCAGCTGCAAACAGCTACCAAGGTGATTCATTAGGCTGAATACCAATCAGCAGTGTGCGTGTTGGCCTTAAAAGAGGCTCAACAATCAGCACTTTGATATGAGTTTTCAAAGCAACATGAAGCAGCTAACAAGGTTCCAAAGAGGCCAGACAGTTTTATGTTTCAGGGGGCATGGTCTGAAAAACCGTGACAGCATATACCTGTGCTCAAAACCTGTATTATGAAACGATTTTTAAAAAACGTAACATACTGTCAACGTACTTCCTTAACAAACGCAGCAGAAGGACTATAAACAGAAGCTTATTATTACCCGCAGAGTAGTTAAGGGGCTCGCATATAACTGCGTCCGTTTATGAGATCACTTTTATTAGCTATAAAAGCCATTTGTGTCACTGCAGTGAGATTTGGGTCCCACAAGCCACAGAGCAGAGCATTCTGGGAGGAGGGTGTAATGATCCAACCATGAGGGTGACCGTGCTGTCAAAGTCACACATGGCACACGATTAGTGATCCAATCTGGCCCCCACAGGGGGCCCCTTAGTAGCTTGGCGGTAGCATCCCAGATAGCCAGGGAATCGGTACCGTTTGAGTGCTTCTCTGTCCTCTCTGACACTTGCCTCTGCTCCACACCTCGTGCAGAATCTGGGAGCTACCTGTCCGTGGAGGCCAGCCCCAAGACGGCCGGCCAGCGGGCCCGACTGCAGAGCCCCGAGGTGGGGCCCGAGCGTGGCCCCTTCTGCCTGCTCTTCTCCTATCAGCTGCAGGGCGAGGGCGTGGGCAGCCTGCGCGTGCTGCTCCGTGCCGCCGACGGCGATGAGACGCAGCTGTGGGTGCTGCAGGGAGACCAAGGACACGCTTGGAAACAGGGCCGAGTCACCCTGCCCCGCTCGCCCAGGCAATACCAGGTATACTCAGCAGGGGGCAGGGCTGTAGATCCGGGCGGGCGGCTAGATGGTTGTTCTGTACAAGAAGACCCCCCTCCTCAAGTAAGGAAAAACGATCAAAAATATGCATAGCAACAGGTGTCGAGCAGAAGAGATCCAGACACCTGTGATTAACCAGGAAACACCCCGACCAACAGGCAATTACTAGTCACTGCTTGTATACTTACAAATAAACCACCCAGCCGAACGCCTAATTGATATTCCTGCACAGACGTAGCAAGCAGCCGAAACTGACTAATGAGGCTGTGAGTTCATTAAAGGCATTGGTGATAATGGTGGGGGCCGTGGCATTGGTGATAATGGTGGGGGCCGTGGCATTGGTGATAATGGTGGGGGCCGTTTCCCGCATGAAGGGCGGCTGTTCGCGGTTGTGGGGAGAGCCGGCGTGACGCTTACAGCCACGCCCCTCTGCGTTCCCCATAATGCACTAGGAGAGGGACGGGCATCAGGATTCGGTCCATTTAGCCTCGGCTGCTAGAATTAGCCGTCCCGTGGGTCTATCTCCATCCATTGGCCACGGTGCGGGAGGGGAAGCTATCGACGATCATTCGGGCTGCCCTGCACAGGCGTGGGGGTGCAGGTAGCAGAGTCGGTGGGTTCAGGGTTTTCACGGGACCCTGCTGTACCCTGGGAAATGGTTCATTCCTGGCTGTGAGCACAGGGCAGTTATCAGCTGTGTGAGTGACTGAATATTAATGTAAATGATCCTCTTCCTAGGTCATCATGGAGGGAGCCCTAGACTACGCAAGCAGGGGTCACATCTGGATCGATAACATCCACATGAGCTCCGGCACGCCCCTGGACGAGTGCAGCCGTAAGTGGGCCTGTCCGCATCCTCACACACACACACACACACACATGCGCAGTCTAAGGATTCCTGTCCTTATGGGGACTCTCCATTCATTCCTGTGGGCAAAGCTCTAATCCCAACAATGACTATCTTGACCTCTACCCAGCCCTAACCTTAGTTTTTTTATTGCAGTCATTGATTTTTATGAAATTGAGTTTCCCCTTGTGGGGCCCGAAAAAATGGTCCCCACAAAGTCAATATAATTTTTTTCACATTGTGCCAACATTTGGTCCCTACAATGTAATGTATACCTGGAGCACACACGCACACACACACGCACACACACACGCACACACACACACACACACACACAGTGAATGTTCTTCCTTGACAAAAACAGAAGGGAGATGTTGGCCGCAGCCCTTAATGCGATTCTGACACATCCCTCCACCAAAGACCCTCAGAGGCCTTGTCGCTGTCCCTCCCCCGCCTGTCTGACACTGACCCTAACGCGCCCCCCCCTGCTCTCTTTCAGAGCCGTTCGAGGCTTTCCCCCCCGACGTACCCGGTGAGTCTCACGCGTCTGAATGTTTCTGCTTTGTGTGGCACGGCTTGCACTACCCGGTGGGGGGGGGGGGGCAGCCCCACTCCCTGCCCAGACCCCCCTGCACCCTGAGCCCCACTGCCTGTCCCTCAGCTTGGCACCTCACGGACACAACAGGACATGGGTGACGGGTCACGGGCATCCAGATGCACCGTTTGGGCTTCACGCTCGTTCCCAGCATGCCCTTCACCCAGCCTGTTGCCGTGCTCCCTGTTGCTGTTGTATTTATAAACAGGCATGACGACGGGCTCCTCAGCATGGGGGGCCTGAGCCTGCCGCTGTCGTGTCTCAGAGAGTTAGCTACTAGCATGCTACGTTTGTCATGTGCAGCAGTATTGCGAGAACGCCAACCGCCCCAGCCCCTGCGATCTGTCTCTGCCACGTTCCCCGCGCCGTCGCAGCTAGCGACCGAGTGGGGGAGGGGGGGGGGACTTGCCGTCGGCGGCACACAGCAATTAGTGTGGCGGGTGGGGCACCGTGTGCAGTCGCTCCTGCCAGCTCAGCTCAGCCCCTTGCGGAGCCGTCCAGGGCTGCCTCACCCCACTGGAATTAAAAAGGGAAATTGGACCTGGTCCAACCCACGGTCGCCGCTCTTTAGCCAACGTGGGCTTGGAAGAAGCTCACCAAAAAATAAATAACCTAACCGCTCCCCCAGGGCTGTGCATCAGGGTGCTGGCAGAGTCACAGCGAGTACAGCTTCTAGGATGAGATGCTGTGGTGGTCCTTCGGAGGTCTTTGAGGTCCTGCGCGCTGGTCTGCTACCGTGGGCTGGGCGTGCCGGGTCTCCAGGTCCAGCTGGCTTCCTCTGGAGGCGGGCAGAGAGTCGCGGCATCAGCTGTTCCCAAGGTGCCGGGCTGTAGGAACTCACCTGTCCACTCGGGGGTCTTTGGGGCTCGCCAGTCTTTGGCCGCGCTCCACCCACTCTGTAGAGTATGTGGGGGATGTGCAGGGCTACTGGCTACCCAGAAGGCCGCGGGTCGCGCTCCCCACTGCGACGCTCGCTGTTCCTAACGCTGTGCCCGGGTTTTGCTGCCATAGACGCCCCTCCCCACTCCCACCCTCTGGCAGAAATGGGCATGTTTTTCACACCAAGCCTAACCGCCAAAATGAAAAGTCAACAAAAGAGGGTCCTAGTGAAGCTGGCGTTGGATCACATGACCACCAGGAAAAATGACCCCCCCCCCCACCTCCACTTCACCATCCAATATTGGTGTGAAAAACTGCCCCTCATGCTTGCATAAGACCTAGTACATAATTATACATGCGTGCGATCAGACCTACATAGCTGCTGACTGATGCAGCGAGGCAGCCTCAGGGAGCCAGCATGCCTGTACGTCTGCGATTGTCTGTCCTGCGATTGTCTGTCCTGTCTGGATGCCTCGGCGAAGCGCTCCATTCCAGCCTGCATGCCTCCATACCCAAGCCGATTCTTCTGTGTCTCTCCACCAGAGGGCCCCCTTGCCGACGGCAGTGATCCCACAGTAGACACGGTGTCGGTCCAGCCCATTCCCACCTACTGGTATTACGTACTGGCCGGCGGTGCCGCCTTGCTCCTGCTGGGCTCGGCCGCCCTGGTCTTGGCGCTGTGCTGTCACCGCTACCGCGTCGCGGCCAAGAAGACCCAGCACTCGGTGGCCTATCACAGCTCCCAGTTCGCCGGCGGCCCCGCCCACGGGCCGGTGCTGGAGCCCACGCTCACCGTTAGGCTAGAGAAGGCAGGTCGCTGCTCCTAGTGGCCGGCGAGTAGGCAGGATGCTCGGCCCTGGGCACAGAGACCGTACCACTTCTCAGACTCTCTGCGGGGGTTTGCTTCTGGATGCCACATCCGAAAAGAAAAAAACAAACAAAAAAAAAACATACTGAGAACTATGTGAAAGAAGCTCATGGCTGTGGATATGGCCTCTGGGATGATTTCGCAGGAAAGTCTGGATGGAGGAAGGCTGCTTACCAAACGGCACCCTGCCCCCCCCTTTCGGTGCCAGACAGCTTTGTGCCATTTCCCAGCGCACGGCGAGACGTTGGGACTCTCCCGATGGGGTTCTCGTCTCGAGGCTGAGGTCCTCGTCGTGGTGGACTGTCCATCGGCGTTGCGATTAGCATCTGGCTGGAATGCTTCAAACGGATCCACACAGAGTGTCCGAGCAGAGCAGGGCCGGACTGGAGGAGCCTTCATGATGCTCGGAGGACTGGTCACGCCCCCTGCCCGCCGCCACATGAGCGGGTCTCCTGTGTGTCTGCCTGCGTGCATGTGTGTGCGTGTCTTGGTTCCAGGAGGACTTGCTGCCCGAATAAACAGAGTGCAGATCCAGCCTGATCCAGCCCCTCCCCCTCCATCTCTCACTTCACTAGAATCCCCGTGCGATGGGGTGAGGGTGGAGGTGTGGTGCATGAGCATATCCGATCAAGCTTGTGGTTAAGAACAATCTTGCGCCACGATTGGCTGTCCTGCACCTCCTCAGTGTGACACCGGTGCCACCGCCCTGTGACTGTCACTTCCGGAGATCTGGGGGCGCGTGAGCGCGAGGCTGGGACCGTGTGCCTGATCCTGCATGCCTGCGGGGGGCTGTGTTTGTTCTCCGATATGCAAAGGAAGCCCTAACCTGCCTTATTACGTCTGGTTGCCGGGGAGCCCTCACGTTACTTTGGCCTTATCCCGCTGTTTCGGAGGGAGGGGGGAATTTCTCCGCGCCTGTCATTTTGTTTTTAAGTCTTTCCGCTGCTGCTTATCTTGCTTTTTGGGATCGCACAGGAAAATGGAGGGCAGATTTTACCGAAGTGTGTGGATTTGCTCAGGTTAGGTCTGTGGTGCTTTTTGACAAGGCCTGACGTGGCTGTTGGTTGATTCCCCGCCTGTAGGGGGCGATTCATCAGCAGCCATCAACCGTGTGTAAACAGGGAAAGGGAGCGGCTTGGACTATTAGAGTCACCGTGATCACGACAATGGAGGCTATCTTTAAAGATTATTTCTTTAATCTTATTTATGTTCTGTTATACCGTGACTAACTTGCATTAATGTGTAATAGCTGCTTCCGTTTGAGACGCCTAAGTGACATTTTGAAATCTCCGTCCCTTGTTATTACTGTGTGATTATCAGTATACGTTTTGGTTTAGTAGTGCAGTGCTGTAACTCGGAAACCACAGTGGGCGGGGCTGCTATCAGTCACCGACTGGCCTCCCATTGGATCACGAAAGTGATTGACAGTGCACTGCAGTCCCTCCCACCATGGCTTCTGAAGGCTCATTTCCCCCCATCACTCGCAGTAATTAAACTCCCTCGCCTGCCTCTTCTGGAAATTGCACCTGAAAGACTGCAGTGCCAGGGTTGTGGGGAAAGGGCCCGTGTTTGCTATGCTGTTTATTCATCATCCGGCACACAGAATAGCGGGCAGGATTTTGCCTCATTTATATATTACTGTTCAGCCTTCTGCCGTTACTGTTTTATTAGTTCAAGTGTGTTTCAAGATTTTAGGATTATAACAAGTATTTGAATGTGTCTTTCATTTTGGGGCTTTTGTGTAGATTGATGGATCTCTCTCTGAGTGAAGGGAAGATGTGCTACCTTTTCCCAGAAGGTCGTCAGACCAGATTATCTGCTTCACTCTGAATGATCCCATTTCAACCGGGGTTCAGACTAACGGAAACACTGCACGCATGAGAAGGGGTGACCGCGACCTGCCCGGCCCGGCCCGGCCCGGCCCGTCTGCTCCGGGCTCTGGGACTGCCGACAGTCTGTCGGGTTTCCATGAACTCCAGTGTCCTCCCAGCCTGCTGCTGTTTTTTCTGGCGTGGCTCTGAGGCTCCCTGGCGGGTGCAGTGAGGTGGACCTGCTGGTCGCTTACTGAGAATTGCTTTCTTTTCTGAAGAGCAGGATGGAAGCACAGAAGCACATAACAGCTGACTGTACCTCTCTGTCTCTCCCTTTCTTCTTCTCCATTCCCCATCCTCTCCCTCTCTCCTTCTCTCTCCCCCATTCTCTCTGTCTCTCCTGCTCTCTCGTTCTTTAGATCTCTCCATCTCTCCCACCCTCTGCCATTTTGTTTTTCTCTTTCTTGTTATCTAGCTCTTTTCTTCTCTCCTTCTCTCCCCTTCTCTCTCTGTCCCCAGTCTCTCCATCTCTCCCCATTCTCTCCCTCTCTTTCTCCCTCTGCCATTCTCCCCTCTCTCTTTCTCTCTCCGCCATTCTCTTCCTCTCTCCTTTTCTCCCCATTCTTTCCCACCTTCTTTCCCATTCTCTAGTCTTCTCTCTCCCTCTCTCCTGTGTTCCTTTCTCCCTCGTTCTCTAGCTTTCTCTCTCCCCCTATCTCTCCCACCCTTTTTCACTCTCTCACTCTCTCTGCCCTGTTCTCCATCCCTCTCCCCCTCCCTAATCTCATATACCGCACATAACCGCATTAGACCCCCGCCTCTCCCGCTCTCATGGAGAATCCAGCCAGCTTTCTTGACAGGCTTCACCTGTTGCATTGTGGGTAGATGCTGATGGAGGTTGCAAACTCTCAGTTCCTGTATGTGAACCCTCTGCAGTTTGGCATCATCAGGCACCATAAAATCTGCTCGTTATTGGTGGGCCGTTGAGTGTTGTGCATATGTATTATGTCAAACCCGGCTCATAATTAGCCTTTGCTAATGTCACTTGTCCTCCGTAGAACAGTCATTCAGTGGGGTTCCCCATATCCCATCCTGCTGTGGTCAGCATTTACTCTCCACCCAAAAATATGCACCTGTTGACCAGTATAATATCTTAATGTCCACCGGGGGGGGGGGGGGGGTCGGTCCACCGGGTATCTTAAGTACCCCCATCAGGAAGGAGGCATTTAGGGAAGATATAAAGTTTCAGATTCTCAGACGAGCCACTTTTAAATCAGGTGCTGCCATTCTGTCACTCTCTACTGATTAGTCTCGGGCCCTTAATATTTTTTAATTAGTTAATGGAGCAGATAACATTTATTAAGCCTGCTGTACGCTTATTTCTCCGATTCCTCCCCCCTCACTGCCGTGCCCGAAGGAAATATTAATGAGAAAATGCACTCAGAGGGTCCTGAGCTCGGCAGAGTGGATCAAGCCTCCCTGCCAAGTCAGTACTCTCACCCCCCGCCCTAATCTACCCCCGCACCCAACTGTCAGTTCTAGGGTCTGTGGGAGAAAGAATAAGGATATACAGACCAGGGCCCCCCTTAGTGGGGGCTGGATCCCATTAGAGCACCATCTCCCAATCCGGTCCTCGGGAACCCAAAGTCGGTCCATGTTTTTGCTCCCGCTGAGCTCTCTGCCAGACTGTCCACATTTTTGCTCCCTCTCTGCTCCCTGGGAGGGAGCAAAAGCGTGGACTGTCCGTGGGTCCCTGAGGACCGTATTGGGAGACACTGCGTTAGAGACATCAGTTGCTGGTGGCTTCGCTAGGTGGAGGATGGTGGTTCATCTCCCAGAGGAACCTTAGTACTCAGACAGAAAACTATAAATTCCTGGTTGTTGTTTTTTTTATTTCTCACTTATCCTCTTTCATCCAGAGATCCTGACTTGAAAAATGTCCAGTAGATCTGCATTTGTTTGCTTGGGATTGGGGTGGGATCAGAGCAGGATCTGGATTGGCCGCGAATGAGATCTGAATGGCAGCCGCGTGTTTCTCCCAATTGTACTTTTCTGCCTCTTTTGTGAATGTAGGATTTTCAACTGTGATCGTCAGACACTTTGAGCAATGTTCATGCTGTGTACCTCCACTTTGCCCGTTTAGAAGACAGAAAAATTAATGAGACATATTTTAGCCTGTGGAAATCAATGTTATGGGAAACGTTGTGTGGAATGTAATAATAAAACGCTATTTTTCCAAAAGCTGGCCTGTGTGTCTGTGCTGTCTGCATCCACTCTGTTCTGTCTTCCTACATGAGACGGACTAATCTCTGCCATAACCCTGCAGCCGATGATGCTTCTTTAAAGTTGGTCCGGGACTGAAAATGAGAGAAGTCTAAAAACCATTTAAAGACAGTGATTCCCTTCCCTTTGATGCAGAGAGAACAGGCTCATTTTTCCCTTTGAACATGTGCTGCCAGGAGTTGCCCTTATCTTAGACGGCGCTCGCTGTCGGTCCGTGAGCGTAACGCACCCCCTGGCCATTAGTCCTAATATCACTGTTATTCCCACGCACGTCTGCGACGCCTCCTTCGTGATTCTTACGCTAAAACCCTTCGGAGGTCTAATGACTCGGGGCCATGGGGCGAGTGACAGAATGAGCGTGTCTGATGGTGTGTAATGTGGCTTCATGCAGAGCGCCGTTCCGGAATGTTCCGCGGCTACGCCTCGGCTCAAGGTCGTTAGGTAACGGGGGACTTCGTCCAGTCGAACAGCTTGAGGCAAGAGAGAAAAATATCAGGGTTTATCCTGAGCGTGAGCTTAAGTCCCCCCGCTTTGAAACACTGAAAGCATCACCCCTCTCTTCTTTCTTGTAGGTCGGAGGCCCGTATTCATAGAGAAGGAGCGGCCTTTCGCCATTGGCCACACCGAGGCAGGTGAGACGCCCCTCCGCTCAAAGCTCCGCCCAAATCGCCGCGTGTTGCTGAGGTCAGATTTCCTAAAGTTAGCATGGCTTAGGGTACGACAGACGCTCCCGTTCTGAGACTTGAACCTGGAGATCAGTTCCACCCCAGAGTTTCGGGACCCGCGCCCTTCCCCTACACGAGGGGTGGCGTGACGGGCCACAGATCGGTACTGGTTCCCGTTCGCTCCGCCGGGGTAGGCCCGTGCAGGCGCGCTTAGACTTCGTGAGCGATCGCCTTTTCTTCTGCTACATTAGATTCTTTCGAGCAGTAAATGTGAGAATCGCCCACCTGCCAGGTCGCTGCCGTTTCATAGGGGAGCCTTTGTCCGGAGGATGGAGGGAATGTATGGAAAAAAAAGTCATTACAGCAGCAGGCTGAATCTGCTCATCACCTAGCTTTTCATTACTGCGCCTGGCACGCACTCTTTCTTTAAGAAAATAATGAAATGCTGCTGCTGGCTTACCATCACAGGATGACACATATATTAGGAGTTGCCAGAGCAAAATTAACGATAAACAGATGCCTGGGACATTTTTATTAGTTTGGGACCGATAACGAGAAACGTGCTTAAGGCGGTGCGGCGCTCTGCCACTTCCGCCGGAGACGGAGATACGGTCCGCGCGAGTCCGCGTTTATCCCCTCGGTCTGGAGCTGCGTCGGCGCCGGGGAGTGGAGTGGTTTGGGGGGGGGGGGGGGGGGGGCGGGGCTCGTTGTTTTCTGACCGAACTCCAACATGGAGGGAAGCAGACGCAAGTGAAACGGTCCCCACTGAGAGTGCGGGTGGAGATTTTCCAAGGCTAGATGAGGGTTCGAGGAGCACCAGAGACGCAGAAGCGCCCTTTAAGGCACCCGGGAGCAATCCCATGATGCAACAGTGAATGCATCTGCGGTCGCCATTGTGCAGGGTCCTTTCCAGACCTGGTCTCTCCGTTTGGTCCACTGGAGAAAATGTTGAAAGTAAAGATAATTACTTAGCTCATTACTGATTTACATTTAATCTCTGTTCCAGTGGATTTATATAATAGATGAGAAGAAGGCAACCCTGGTCCTGGAATGCCAGTATCCTGCAGGTTTTCTGTCCTACCTGATTAGTTACTATCTGCCTGAGATAGCAAGTGTGGTTCATCAGAGACCAGATAGGATGGAAAACCTACTGATGGATTTCCTACCCCTGCAGTAGAGAATAAGAGCTTCAGAGAGTCTCCCATCTCTGGTTGTCTAGAACAGTGTTTCCCAATGCGGTCCTTGGCAACCCACAGACAGTCCACATTTTTGCTACCGACAGCGGGAGCAAAAATATGGACTGGTAGGGAGCAAAATTGGGAACCACCGGATTGGGAAACACGGCTCTAGAACCTTGGGTATTTTTGCCACGATGCCCTCCCCCCCGCTGCATTAACTCCGCCTACTCCCCATCTCTCTACCCAGACCCCCTCTTCCTGGGGTGGAGCACGCCGGGCCCCACGTTGGAGCCCCCGGTGACTCGCGTCCTGGATAAGGACAGCGCCTGGCTGTACACGCTGGACCCCATCCTGCTCACCATCATCGTGATGAGCTCGCTGGGCGTGCTGCTGGGTGCCGTCTGCGCCGGCCTCCTCCTCTACTGCTCCTGCTCCTACGGGGGCCTGGGCTCCCGCGGCTCCACCACACTGGAGAACTACAACTTCGAGCTCTACGACGGCATCAAGCACAAGGTCAAGCTCAACCAGCAGAGGTGCTGCTCCGAGGCCTGAGGACAGGGGTGGGGGCATGGTGGGGGAGGGGAGTGCCAGTCCCTGCTCAGCCCCCCCCCCTCACGCTCATTCACTAGAAACTCACCCCTCTTTTCCATTCTCAGTGGGTTGGGAGGGGGTGGGCACAAGGAAATCATGTCGCTCTTAATCACCTGCTACTGAAATGGAACCGACTGCAGAATCAGAACCACAGGACCCAGAGGGGAGCCTGCTCATTGGATGCTGAAAAAAATATACAAAACATATCAACTTTGAATGCCTATCCAAAAAAGAAATATATATATATAAATATAAATATAGATTTTTAAAGATTGACTTTTTAAGCAGGTGGATGACCTTAGAAACCTATGGGGAGGAGTGAGATCTCGGTCACCTCCGTGTTTTTAGATGCTCTCCTGTGTTAGACCCGTGTCTTGGCGATGTTCTTTGTTCTGTTTTCCCTGTTATCCGGGCCACTTTGAGACGTAATTGTTCTGTGACGACCGGCGCGGCCATTCGCTTTCTTACGTTTGGGTCTTATTGCAGCTTGTAATGTTTTTGTTCCACGTTGTTGCCCGTTGGGGGGGGGGGGGGGGGGGGGGGTTCTGTCTTATTAAAGGTTGGCTCTCTGGCTGTGTGTTAGGCTTAGCGTAAGGACTGTCTTATGGGGGGGCTTCCCTTCTGGAAAGGACCGTTTGTTTTTTTTAAACGCGTCATGTACCTGCAACGTTTACTTCATTGCAACCTATGGATTGCTGACGGCGGAACGTGCCAGGAGGATTG